CTGCCACCAGTGAGGACTATCACGGAATGCGTCGTTTTCAGTAAAAAGGGCCTCCGGTTCTCTACACTCACCATACTAAATTCAGCAGCGTCAACCTGCTATTTTACGCTGGTATTCTGCGATAGCATGGTCCTTCTCCGGTCGAGTCGACACTCGTGCTGCAACTATACTACTTATATAGCTGCAGCGTGGCTCTACCACGTATAAAGTTGTTCAATGGCTATTCTCTTTGCAAGGAGTTGCGTCACACTTGGCAGGCTGATCGACCTCCGCAGTACCAGATAAATCGCCCGTCTGACGGTGCTGCATTGCCTGTCTATCGTTACCGTCACAGCCTATTAAAGTCTACTGCTGAACATAGGCCTCTCCTATAGATTATCTCATAGGGGGATATTTGCCATATTTGCCAAGCTTGGCAAGCGAGTTGGCAACCTCAGTTTTTCATTTTTAGTTGTTGTTAGGAAGACGCTCCTGCCCAAATCTTGATTTGTTTACGACAGCCACGGGATGATATGGAGTAGTTTAGTGGTAAACGTGATGGTGATACCTTCATAAGATTTTTCTGGCATTCCCCACAGTCGCCTCTCACGAAACCCACGGGAAGATATGGGGTAGTGGATATTCTTACACCGACACTACACGGTAATTGTCTGTATGGATAATTTAAATCTGGCGTAAATATGATGGAGATACCGTCATAAGATTTTTCTGGTATTCCCCACAGTCGCCTCTCATAAAACCCACGGGAAGTTATGAGGTAATTCATTCTCTTACACCACCACACTATAAACAAAAAGCAAATGGACACTTGGAATAATTTAATTTGACGGTACGATACGACTGGGGAATTAAAATAAAAGAATTTTCCTGTATAATTCTTTATCTCTATCTTTGTTATTTTGTCTTTAATCTATGTTGACTTTTTAGAAGTAAAAGGATCACGTTATTCGTTTGTATTTCATTTAATATAGCCGGAAAAAAATGATTACGTTTGAATTGAAGACCGAAGGGAAAATATTTTAACTTCCATTTTTGTCGAGTAATCAAAAATAAAAGAAAATATTTCGAGAATTATACTACACAATATTTATAGATGAAGTAATATGATATATATGCTGCTTAGGTAGTTTGTGTGAAATTTCTTTCTCCGTGAAAATTCTTCTTTCAAAAATCAAAATTTAACAAAAAAATGTGTACACATAGGAGGTGGAGAGCGGGCGATACATCCATAAGTTTTCCTATTGAAGCCCTCGAACGATTTAAATGTTTTTAACGTAAAAACTAAATCAATGATCTTGCCGGAGATCGTAATAGTGTTTTCTATAGTAAACCTAAGTAAAGATACATTGTATATATGTCCTTACTGCTAGGCATTTTGGCTTTTCTCATTTCTTAGATCGTTATGAAGCAGTAAGTCTACCGCCCTGTGTGTGTGTGTGTTTTTTTTTTATTGAAATGAAGTTACAAACGAACATACAGTCGACCTGATGGTAACGGGCTGGCTATCTGCTTCACTACATGAATACGTGTGACTAATTTCAAACAAGGAAGGCTACAGTTGCGTTGTGACGTCTGAAGACTAAGATGGAAGTGGAAGCCTGTAATTATGCTGGCTCTATATCCTTTAGACCGGAGCATAGTGCAGGCACTGCTATATGGCAGCAGAAAAAAGATTGTACCTATCCAGGCGGACTACTAGGCAGAAAGGAAGTCAAACCACCATTAAATTGTTATGGAGTGCAATGTTAACGCCAATGATGCCCAAATAATCAAGTGCTACTCAATTTCAAGACGCCGTTAAGGCTGGGTGTTCCCGTTTTTGTCCATTTTAAAATTGTTTTTTGGTAGCCAAATTATTACATTTAGAATATAAAAAAAAAATATGTAGTTTAGATACATTCTTTCTCCTTACGATGTACCCGGTCAATACACGATACGATACAATTTTCTTGATAGCAAAAATTACCAAACTACGTTCGATTTGCAATTTTTTTTACAAACCAAATTTCATTTTAAACAAGTACTAATACTCCTTTTTTTCTATAAAAAAAAAATATATCAATTTCTAGGTAATTCATTTTGGAATAAATTCTACCCGATCGTTTTTTTTTTTTCATTATATTTATTAAATAAATTATAGATTATTTAAGTGATTTTCGATTCGCACGCCGCTTGTTGCCAGCCAGTGTCCCGCGGGACGTTGCTAAGGGAAGCAGGGAAGACTTGCGCCAATTTTTTGCGCGCGCAATACTCTTCTACTATGTAAAATAATATTTAGGAAATAAAATAAATTGTAAATAGTTATAGTTTTATGGAACTCGTATAGAGTATAGTTAAGCTTTTGTTTGTGTGTTTATTTCTCATTGTGTAAATATTTGTTAATAACTTTAAAACAATATTTTTGTGATTATTTTGTAAAAATCGCGATTATATGCGCGGCCCGACTCGATCTTTACGACGCCGGCTTGTAAATACCTAATGCGCTGGGAAATCCAGGTCTTGTGGTGTCACAGTCACTTTTCGACTTAAAGCGATAGAGACAGCACGAGAGTTAACGACGTCTTAAAATTAAGTAGCGTTTGAGTATTTGGGCAAGATTCCACCTGATGGTAAGTGGATGCTGTGGGCTGTGGTCCATATACATCTGCATTTTTCTTCGATAAACAATCGAAATACGGGGTCGTTTCCAGTAAAAAGGGTCTCCGGTTCTCTACACGCACCATATGAAACACAGCAGCATTAAGGTTCTGTTTTGCGCCGGTATTCTGTGGGAGCGTGGTTCTTGGCTGCTCGATTACGACCCATTCATGGTACAACTGTAATATAGCGCTGACGTAGCTCGACCGCATCCTCTTAACTTTTTTTTAATCCGTTACTTTTTTCATTTAAAAGTATAAAGCAGTGTTGTCATATTTGAATCTATACCTCATGAATGATAGATAGATATACATTTTTTCTTTCGATGTTTAAGTATAAGTTTTTTTTTATTAGTTTAACCTTCGACAGTCGATGCTCTTTTCATAATACTGTAATCACCACTTATCATTATAAACAACTTTGACTTTCGTAAGGAGTTATTAATTTATCTCGTCAACTTTAGGTGCTCTTATTTTTTATTAAAAAAATTACTTAAAATTTAAAGTAAAAGTTTACTTTAAACATCTATAATGAATAAAATAATTTCACATTCTTAAGTCGGTGTATAGAAGCATTAAAGGCCCGTCTTCAGAAAGTACGTGGTAGAGCCACGCTGGAGCTATATTTGCTTGCAGCACGAATGGGTCGGCTCGACCGGAGAAGAACCACGCTCTCACAGGATACCAACGTAAAATAGCAGCTTAATGCTGCCGAGTTTCGTTTGGTGAGTGTAGAGAACCGAAAACCCTCATTACTGGAAACGAGGCATTCCATCTTAGTCCTCACTCCTCAGGGTAGACAGCGCATTTGCTATTTGATTTTTAATCGAAGATAGATCTAGATGTGTATGGGCCATATGTCTATGTGCTCGTTTGTACCCATATTCAATAAAAAAATGTAATATAATTTTATACTTTTTAGTTGTTTGAAGTTGACTTTTACTTTTATTTTACTTTCTTTTACCTTTTTGAGTTGATTAAGAAATATCACACCTACCTATAGTTCCAATAAAAACTCCATCCCCTATTTTGCCACTCTCGGAAATATAATTATTATCCAAATAATTGACCTATTTAATAAAATAAGAATTATTAAAATCTATTCATAATTGACAAAGATGTACATCCATATAAAAAAAACATACAACTGCAGTGCGAACCTCCTGCTTTTTATGAAAAGAGGTAAAAGAAGAGAGAATTTTAGAATTGGAAATAAATTATCCAGAAAGACAATAAGGGCCGATTTTTTAATCGTAAGGTAAAAGTTAATGCGGTAGAACCATTATGCAGCTATATTATGGTTGCAGCACGAATGGGTCAGCTCGACAGGTAAGGATCACACTGTCACAGAATACCAGCCTTAAATGGCAGTTTAATTCTGTTGTGTTTCGTATGGTGAGTGTAGAGAACCGGACCCCCTTTTTACTGGAAACGAGGCATTCCATCTTAGTCCTCAGGGGTGACAACGCGTCTGCATTTTGATTCTTAATCGACGATAAATGAAGATATCTGGGGGCCACAGCATCCACTTACCATCAGTTGCACTGTGTGCACGTTTGTCACTCTTATTCTATTAATAAAAAATAAAACGAAAATATATATATTAGCATATCAACACATTTGTATACATAACACTTGATTGTGGAGCGTAGACAAGCCGCAGTAGGCGCCGCGCGGGCTGAGCTCTGCGGACCGCAAGTTCAAGACCATCTCCTCCCCTGCTCTTCCCCTCCCTCTTTGTTTCCCCTCCTCCCTGTGTCCCCTCCCCCCGCGACGTCCCCGGGGTGCATAGCCTGCGCTGCATCGCTAATTTCATACCTCGCTATGCGTTTTCAGGTCGCCAGCTTCCCGCGTCATCGACATACAGCAATATTTGTTACGTGACTTACTTTAAATGCGAATGAATACGCTTTGGAGATTATCTTTTATGTTTTTATGTATGCAGTTGTTTTATTTTATATTTATATTTTTAGTTTACACAAACGAGCATGCGTCTCACTTGATGTTAAGTGACTGCCTCCGCCCGCCGCCCATGAACAACTAACTGCAACATAATATGATGTAATTTTTATAACTGACAAAGAAAAAACTTACAAGTATTCGCCCATGTTAAAACAGCTAGATGTACTCGTATTATATTGTATGATTGATGTATTTTAGTTTTTTTCCATGGCAAGTCTTATGGAATTTTGCTATGGGTAATGCTTGAAACAATATTTATTTTGCAAAATTATATAGGCAATTTATAATTTAAATTGTAAAGATTCTTGTATTTTTTTTTTATTTTTAATATTAGAGTACAGTATAATTTATGTTACGTTCACATCAGTAAAAGAACACAGTAAAATAAGTCAACGTTTTCAGGTGTACACGGCGAGGCGGCCTCTAGGCCACGCGGGGCACCGGAACCTGACCAGCTTTACGACCACCACTCCTCCGAAGAAGAGCTCGAGGTGAGCCCGCTATTCTCTACTTACCTACCTAAAGAGCAATGGCAGAAAAATAGTTGACAAAAATTATAGCGTCTAGAAATAAGTTATATATAAAATGAGTTTTATTATTTTTCTATGATTTTTCAAATAAAAATGTATTTTAATCAAAGCCACAGAAAAAAACAAACATTTTTGGGAATATCAAATGACTGAAATCATTTTACTCTATTCAAATGTTGCCATTTAGTATATTCCTACTATTTTCGTATACACTTTGTAACACTACCAACACAACACACAAAATATTTTTATATTAAGTTATTATTAGTAATAACTGTACTGTCGGTAATAACAAAAATAAAAGTAATATGGCTGAGAATAAGTCTCTTACAAAGAATTTCCTACGGTAATACATTATCTCAATCATAGTACTATGTAACAATTCCATTTAATGTTATGCCAACACTAGCTAAAATAAAATGTCACTGTTTTTTTTACTGGATTTACGGCTCTGGGTTCTAGCCCTTCTGAGAATGTCACTATGGTACAAAAGCCCTGGAGCCATGCCAGAAATATACATTTATAGTATGCAAATATATAATAGAGATACAATAATCTAAAAACTTTCATTTATGTATTATGTATTAAGCTAACATCAAACAACCACAGGAAGCATGACTTTTTCCAAGCGACATAGGACATAACCTAAAAAGGTTCAAATGCAAATATCTTTTTTTTGACGCCTTCTCAGTACAAAATTCTTTGACAAAGTTATTAAGGGACTGACGCTTAACATTTTAAGATATTTTTGGTATATAGACGCTACCATTTCTTCTCAACTAATTTTATGTATGAAAGTCTGCCATTGCTCTTTGGCGTCACACACAGCTAATTCAGTGGCGCTATATTCTTTCTTCAACAGATAAATTTTAATGCTTTATGGATATATCTTAGTCTAATAATTTTATTCAAAATTGACTTTTAAAAATATTTTTTTGAAATTCAAAAGCCACTCAAGTTCCTACTGCGGAGAGAACTTGTAAGAAGAAGCAACAAGAAACTCAAAAGTAGACGTATTTTTCTCCCAACGGTTATAATTTAACGTTAAATAAAATATATACACGAGTAAAGAAAAGCTTAAGGAAGCTCATTATTACTACAACCAAAGATTCATAGATTGCCACAAAGTACGGTCCTAAGCCACCTGCATCGACTGCTTGCGTGTTCCATCAGGCCGTCACTCCATCTAGTGGTAGTCGCTCGACACTGCGCATGCCAGTACGAGGCTGCCACTCGAGAACCATTCTTCCCCATCGGTTGTCGGTTCCTTAAACTATATGGCCGGTCCGTTCCCACTTCAGCTTACTGATGCTATGTCAGCTATGTCAGGTACTCTTGTTCCATTGCGAAGAGCCTTGTTACAGACTTCATCCCGTAGATCAATTCCGAGCATAGCCCTTTCCACCACACTCTGAGTGACTTTGAAGAAGGAAGTTCATTACAAAAAATTGTATAAAAATTATATTACTTAAATATTTCAAAATCTAAAAAACGCTCACTATGTCCACGAATTCTTGTCTTCTCTATTATTATCTATCTTGATATAGGTACCTCTTTCGTCTCCTTTACATTCATATATCTACAAATAGTTAGTAAATCTAATTTATAATATCCGTTTATCATAAGAATGCTGTTGACATGTGCTTTAAATGCAAAAGCGAATCTATACATCTATACAAATATATACAATTGAAGTGTCTATTTGTTATGTCAAAATTACAGCTTTTTCCTAATAGCATATGAAAGTATATACGGTACTTGTAACAAAAACTGACTGACTTTGTCTGTCTGTCTGTCTTTCTATTTGTTTCGGCTAATCTTCGAAAAGCTGTACCGATTGTTACGAGATTTTCACTGGCAGATAGCTGATGTTATAAAGAGTAACTTAGGCTACATTTATTTTAGAAAATGAATTAGGGTTCCGCGCAAAAAAACTAAGATTCAATGTTAATAAATTCCTTTATCTTATTAAAGCTGCGGGGAACAGTTAGTCAGTAATATCACAGAGAATTTTGTTATAAACAGTTATTACATTGACGCAAACATGGGCCGCAAATTTTATGGAGTCTGTACTTTGTTAGTTCACATGTTTAAGATCAGTACTCTGTTGTCTATTCACACTTCAACCACATTTGTTCTTAAACAGAACTGCCCGTTTATGATACATAAAACATACCCTTTCAAACCAGCCAGCTTAATGCACCAAGTCTGGGGTTCCCAAACTTTTGTGTTCGCGGCGCACTTACAGGTTTAGTATTTTGTCTTGGCGTAGCGCGGTGCTTGCCCTAGCTAGCTAAAGCCGATATTACACGGATCAACCAAATCGAAAGAATTCCATTGAAAAATATTGAACATGGCACATTGAACGGCTTTACCAATATACACGTGAGTCATTTAAATGACGTTCAATGTTCATTTCGATTTACTGCTACTATTTAGTAAATGAGTTGCATAATTAACAAAAAAAAATCTTGGCGTTGGTGACTGCACCCGTAGATTTCGAGAAGGATAACTAAAGGAGCCTCAAGCACCTTATTAGTAGAATTGGCAGAAGAATATCCAAATCCTTATTTGAACCATTTGCGAATGACAGAAAGTGTATAATGAACTTCTTAAAACCTATTTTCACGCCACTTGAAAACAATTTTCGAAAATCCCTGTGCGCACGCGAAATAAGTGTCGTGCGATGCGCGGAATGTGTCATCGTTCAATCTTCACGTATACACGTTTCAACCGTATTGATCAATGACCAATATTGCTACCATTCCATTGAAAGCGTTCGGTAAATTTAAGCTTTCAATGAGATTGCGCAATCGCAATGAAATGTATTTAGATGTCTCGTGGCATTCATTGAAGTAATGAAATTGAAATCAGTATTGAACCGCAATTGATCCGTGTAATATCGGCTTAACTAGCTATTTACTCTACGGCGCACCACGCCACGTCGCCGCGGCGCACACTTTGGGAACCCCTGCACTAAGTACTTCACAGTCTTAATGTTTATTCATTTTACGATTGTTACACAGCACGTGAACTCTAACAATGTGTGAATTTGCGATGTACTTGGCCAGTAATATCTGAATAATTAGTATATGATGTAACTGTGCGGCTTGTTTTGAACTTGAACGTAGAGACTCACTCTACATACACAAGGACGATGTTTTATTCAGTACATATATATGTTATGGTGATTAATCAGGACACTATAATGCCCGGGCAATATGTATAATGACAAGTCAAGTATTTATCACATTGTCTGGTCAAAAAAATTCAAATAGTAACGAACTTTATTCACTTTAGATTTTAACTTCAATATACTAAAATTATAATATATTAATAAATCTAAAAAAACTAATATAATATATTGATACATCTTTATAAAATTTGGCTTTTCAAGACTCCAAGTACTAAATTTGAATTGAAATGATTAATGATTTATTAAAATAAAGGAACTCAAACGAGGTCCTTGCGGTAACAGTGCTTGTACTGCTGTTATCCGGTCTGTAGGGTATAGGGATCCAGTATAATTACAGGTTGTCAGGTATTCCATCTCGCTTCTCAGAGGCAACAAGCATCTGTAGCCTATTTGTATAAAGTTGCATCCAGTTTTCCGTGAACTGCAGTAGCCACTTACCATTGTAATCGTGTGTGTAAATAGTGGCAACACTTTAGTTTTATAAAACGAGATATATTTAACGACGTTGAAGGCAATCGAAAGTCCCGTAGAGGTTATTATGTCAGCTTGTTTATTACCAAATATTTTCTCAATTTGTATGCAAATGCGTGCATTTTGAATAGGTACATTTTCTGTTTGATCTTGTGTAGTTTTGCTCAGTTTTATGTCTATACATATAAACAATTTTAAAAAACAATTTTATGTCTATACATATAAAATTAAATTAAATTGTCCGTCTGTAATATCGAAATAACTGGCTTCTATTAAGCGCAAGGGATTATTTGGCTTCTATTGAGCTCAAGGGATTATGTGCCTGCTATTAAGATATATATAACCACTTTTAAAAATTTTGTCTGTCTGTCTGTCTATCCGGGATAATCTTCGGAAAGGCTAATAGGATTGTGATGAAACTTTACGAAGAGGTAGAGAACAATGTCAGGATCGCTATATTTTATACAAAAACTTGAAGGCTTCTTTAAAAAAAATCATAAAAAAGAATATATTTAAGACATTTTAACATGATAAAAAGAATATTTTTTTTTATTTTTTTTTATAGGAGAGGGGGCAAACGAGCATGCGGCTCACCTGATGGTAAGTGACTACCGCCGCCCATGAACAACTGCAACACCAGGGGAATCGCAGATGCGTTGCCGGCCTTTTAAAAAGGAGTACGCTCTTTTCTTGAAGGTCCCTAAGTCGTATCGGTCCGGAAAAATCGCTGATGGTAATCGATTCCACAAGGAGGTCGTGCGAGGAAGAAAACATCTTCTAAATCGCACAGTGGTGGACCGCCAATCATCCAGATGGTGTGGATGGTATCGGGAGTTCTGCCGCGATGTGCGTTCGTGAAATTTGGCGGCTGGGATTAATCCGAACAATTCCTCAGAGCACTCCCCATGGTAGATGCGAAAGAAAATGCAAAGGGATGCAACATCTCTTCGCAGTGCCAATGAATCGAGCCGATCGGAAAGGGCTCGGTCGTCGACAATTCGAGCCGCTCTGCGTTGGATGCGGTCAAGTGGAAGGAGCTGGCACTGGGGAGCCCCTGCCCAGAGATGGGAACAGTATTCCATGTGAGGCCGAACTTGCGCCTTGTAAAGTAGCAGGCGGTGTGCCAGCATGAAATACTGTCCCGCTCTGCTGAGCACGCCAAGCTTTTTAGAGGCCAATTTGGCCTTCCCTTCCAAGTGACCACGAAACTGCACGTCACTCGATATGTCGACTCCGAGGATACCGATACTGGCTGAGGCAAGAAGGGGAGTGCCTTGAAACTGAGGAGATACGA